GTATATTATATTTATTATAATATATACTTATTAATTTTTAAATTTAGTAATTTAAAACTATATTGTACATTCTTTCAAATAGTGCTAATTAAATTTCTTAATTGTTATAAACAAAGGTGCTATGAATTAAATAAAAAAAGAGGCTAACTTTGTATCAAATTATTTTAGGACAAACTTTTTTTTATTTAAATTTGTGAAAAAATTCAAGCTTTTTAAATATGTAAAAATAATATTTTTACAGTCAATGGTTAAAAAGTTATTCTATTTGTTTATAAGCAAAAAATCGACATGTTTTTGCAAAATTATTTTGCAATATTTAAAATTAATTTTCTTATTTTTTTTTACTGTAAATAATAAAAGAAGTCTTCTTCTAGCAGAGACAACCCTAACAATTACCAAAACTGTATAAATTTCTGACTTATATTGTTGCAAAAAATGTTCAATTGGGATAAACAAATAAAATAACTTTTAAACTATTGGACGATTTTAACCCTATTTTAAGCACTACAAGACACATCATTCCATGAAATATAAATATTATAAGTTTATTTTTAAAAAAGTTATTAACATTTATAAAAAACCGAAATTTTTGACTTATTTTGCAACTTTCTAAGCAACAAATAAGGATAGAGACATTTTGAAAACGCCATTTTTAAGGTTTTTAAATAACTTATAAGTTTCCTCTCTTCTAAAATTTGTTTAAATTGCTTCACTTTTTGCCGATAGACGAAAAAAAGCAAAAATTTTCCGTTTTTTGACCTTAATTTGTTAATAACTAATTAAGTCCAAAAAATCAACTGCAGGAAACATATAGGTTTTTGTTACAGAGGTCCATACTACTCAAAACAACTGTCGTTTGTCTGGCCGGACGAGTGTCATGAAAAACTGCTTATTTCCCTGGGCTAATAAGGCGTTTACGTATGATCTTCCGGATATGAATCCTTGTTTTTCAACTGATAAAGTTGTTAGTTTATTGATTTTGTTGGTTATTACTTTTGTGGTCAGCTTAAGTGCGGTGTTCAGTAGATTTATACCTCTATAATTGTTGGGGTCTCTTTTATATCCTCTTTTGAATATTGGTATCATTATGCTATTTGTCCACGCGTCTGGTATCTTGAAGTGCAATATTAGTTTTTGTATAAATTTTGTTATCTTAAGGATTATACTCTCTCCTCCGTGTTTTATAAGCTCGTTGGTTATTCCATCTGGTCCTGGTGACTTTTTTTTTTGAGTGAATTTATGACTATCTTTACTTCCTGAAAACTCATTAAAGACCGATTGCTGACACTATACATCAATCTCTTCTTCTTCGTGTGCCATATCATAATTATCCAACGTTGGCGATTACCATTGCGAAGGCTTCTCGACCTTCTGCAATATGGAATAATTGTCCTGCATTTGATATCTGAGTCCATTTACGAATTTTTTTTAACCAGGAAACTTGTTGTCTTCCTACACCTCTGCGGTCCTCTATTTTGCCTTTAAGGATCAGTTGTAATGAATTGAAATGTTCGGATTAACGGATTACAGAGAAGAATTCGTAATAAATAAAATAAAAATATTGCATAATGAGAAAATAATTTTTGGAGTCGACAAACTGACTCAAAATGTATATGGTACCTATGCACTAGATCTGTACAGCTGGTTGAATTTGTGACAAGATCATTGGCTACAAAATATTTCTGTAATATGAGAGAAAACACCGTTAATATCCAAAAAAGCGTACACAACATAACTCTTTATCTCATCCTTTAAAAACACTGGCGATCATCACGGCTCATTTTTACTCTGTCCACTGCTTTAAAATTTTCAACCGTAACATGCGTTGCCTCCCTTTTTCTCTTTTTTCCTTTCACTTTTCCTTGTATAACCAATCGCATCAACTTCTATTTTTCTTTTCTTAGTATGTGACCAAAATAGCTAATTTTTCTTTTCTTCATAGTGTCAAGTATTTGTTTTTCTCTTTTCATGTTTCTTAATGTTTCCGTGTTTGTTACGTGTTGTGTAAATGATATTTTTCACATTCTTTGATAACAGCACATCTTAAAGCTGGCAAGTCTTTTTTCAGTTGCGTTCGTAATTGTCCAGGCTTCAACTCCATATAAAATGAAAGAAATACGTAGCATCTCAATACAATTCTAATTCTAACTAACTTCTAACTCATTCTAATTTCTATTCTTAGTTTTCCATTATATAATATTACTTTTTTCTTATTAAAAACGCTTCTGGCGATCTCAATGCGTCGTTTTATTTCAAAACTGCGGTTTCATTGTTCATTTAGCTTGAATCTCAAGTAATTGTATCTGGTTACTTTCTCTAAAGTTTTTCCTTTAACGTAGATTGTTTCGTCTTTAATCTTGTTCTTACTGATAATCATGATTTTTGTTTTTTTTGTTCATTACCATTCCATACACACTAGTTTTCTGTTTATTGATATACCTTCATTAACGTCTTCTAGTGCCTCTTTAAACATCTCTTCTTCTTCTTTTTCCTCTTTATGAGCAATTCTGATTATAAAGAATCTCCTAGAATATCTCAGCAACTTCTTCTGTCGATTCGTGTCTTATCTCTTGCTATTTTGACTACACGGGTTTCCCTCATTCTGCTTATGTGATTATTCCATTCTTTTTCCTAATTTTTGTCCATTTATTTATATACTGTACGTTACATTTTCTTTTAATGTCTTCACTTCTCTTTTGATCTCTCAGCGTATTTTTTGTAATTTTTTAGTAGCTTTTGCGTTGTGGCTGTCTCGGGTCTTGTTTCTGACGCATATGTCATTATTGGTCTTACACTTGCTTTATAAATTCTTGACTTTATCTTAGTGTTAATGTGTCTCAGTGTTTCGCCATATAGTGTTATTAAGGCGTCTTGCCAGTCTATTTGCTTTTTGTACTTGATCTCTCTCTTCTTTGTCCAGGTCTCCATAGCTAGACAGTGTAATTCCCGGGTTTTTTATTTCCATTCATTTTATTCCATTCCTTTTCATTCAATTTATATTTTACATCTGGTTGGTTTTTTGCTGACGACTATTGTTTTAGTTTTCTGAGATGAGATTGTCACATTAAATTCTTTTGTTAAATAATAAATTACTTATATTAAATCTGTGGACCAATCTTTGCAGATTATCTTCATCTTGGGATAGCGTCGTCTGCGTAACAGAGTATTTTGATTTTTTTGTTTCCCATTAAACATCTCTTCTAAGCACTTAAAAAGTAGATGGTATAGTTAACATATTTGCCGTACTCTTCTTTTTATAGATATCTCCTTAGATTTTTGTTGGTCTATTATGGTATTATGGCTTTCTAATATAGGAATAATTTGTACAAATTCTCACATCCTTCTATTTCGGTGTTCTGTAATATTTTTGCAAGTCTTTTGTATTGTATTTTGTCTTAGGCTTACTCAAAGTCAACTAGACGTATGAACACGTCACAGTTATCATCTGGACACTGTTATATAAGTGTTTGTATATTAAATAATACCTCTCTAGTGCCAAAGCCTTTTTTAAATCCCAGTTGGCTTCCTGTGAAAAAATGTATATTGGAAGGATGTGCGCGAATAGGACAGAAGTCAAATATATTTTGTATGATAGATTTTTATTACAGAACCTATAGCAATAGGCAGCGGAACAAGATAAGGGGATTCATTGAGCGCCATGCTCTTCAATTTGATGAAATGAATGAAATCATCAAAATCGTTAACAACGGAAGAGGATACAGAACAGGAAACAAGAAAATCAAAATACTCTGTTACGCAGACGACGCAATATTGATAGCCCAAGATGAAGATAGTCTGCAAAGACTGGTCTACATATTTAATACAAAAGCAAAAGAATTTAATATGACAATCATATAAGAAAACTAAAACAATAGTTGTCAGCAAAGAACCAACTAGATGTAAAATAGAAATCGATGGCATCAGTATTGAATAAGTAATGAAAATAAAATAACTGGGAATTACACTGTCCAACTATGGAGCCAGTGTAAGACAAATAATGACATACGCCTTATAAACAAGACCCGATACTTCCACAACGTAAAGGCTACTGGACATGGCAGAGATGACAGTACTGAGAAGAATTACAGGAAATACGCTGAAAGATCGAAAGAGAAGTGAAGACATTAGAAGAAAATGTAACGTACAGTGTATAAATAAATAGACCCAAAATAAAAAAAAAGAATGGAATAACCACATAAGCAGAATGGAGGAGACCCTTGTCGTCAAAATAGCAAAAGATAAGTCACCAATCTGTATTTAGAAGAAGTATCGGACGGCCACGCAATAAAAGAGTGACAACCTTCCATAGTGGTATTAATCCGCCAATGAACAAGCAGAATTGCTTATACAAGGAAGATGACTAAGAAGATTTTTATTACTAAAAATATGTGAAAAATCACCTTAGTTTAAATATCTCTTTCCTGTGACAACTTTCTCTGCAAATAGTTCCTTAAGCAACTGACAAAGCATAACAAAGTAGGTTTGTTATTGGCTGAAGCAATTTTTGTTAACGAGGCTACTGTTAGTCTTGTTAAAGAAGGTGCCGATATTTAGGTGCTTATAGATTTACTGTATCCCATTGAAAAAAAAAATCTAGCTATAGTCAAACAGTTTATTGTAGTTCTTTGCATGCTACGCAAAAATACTCTTAAAACTTCGGAACACTCCACTTGGCAGAATCAAGTTTTTTTATGTGACTCTTTCGTTTTATATTTTTATGTTTTTATGTTTTACAGACACCTGTAGCGTTTTCTTTGGTATTTTTTACTGTCTATGCTAATTTGGCTTGTTCTAACTTATATCGTTTTCAGTTGATTGATATATATATATATATATATATATATAATATATATATATATATATATATATATATATATATATATGATAGCTTGGATTGTTAGAAAATTATCTTAGAACAGTATCATTAGGAAAAGAGAAATGAATTTAGTATTTTATATGCTTTGTTTTTTATAACAAATACATTTTTTTTAAATACTTACCAAAATTTAAATAGTCCCATTCATCAGCACACAAGATGCCTGAAAAAAATGTTATTTTAAAAAAATGATTATTTATTTTTGCTATCAATAATGATCTGTCTTTATTATCATTCAATTCTCGATCAAAATTTAGAAAAGAAAGCACCAGGATATGATTTAATCATATGAGAATTACTAAAAATCTGCTTCGTAAAGTCATAGTAAAATTGACCAAACCAGTTGGTGCTAAAAATAATGAAACTAATAATAAACGAGAAAAAAGTGATTTTAAACCACCAATTTGGCTTCATAAATAAATATTCTATGGTTGATTAGGTAAACAGAATTACCAAAATAATTGAAAAATCATTTGAAGAAAAGAAAGTCTGTTCTACAATCTTTTTGGGCGTAGTTAAGGAGTTCGACGAAGTATGGCATGCAGGTTTAATGTACAAACTTCTAAATTTTTGTATTATTTTTATATTTTTCTAATGTTTATGTCAATATTCAGAAATTTTGTAGTCATACATATCTGACAGATAATTAGGAGTAAAGCAAGAGTAAAAGCTGTGCGTCAAAATTTTACTCTCTGATTCGGATTAAGGACCACATAGGAGAAGTTGATCTATCCTATGGCAAAGAAAGATATTTAAGAGCTTGTTTAGTTTTTCTAATAATTTGTGGAAATGGCCAATAGTGGAATGTGGAATAATTAGAGAACAATTTTTTGGAGCTTTACGGCACCTCCACCAATCTTCCTCATCACTGAAACTCAAAACCATTTGATGATTATTTACGCATCTGCTCTTATTTATAAAGTCTGTGTATAACATATAGGCTATCTATCTAATCAGCCTTAAATGCCCACTCTTGGTCATAGGCCTCCCCTGTTAATCTCCATTGGTCTCTATTTTGGGCGATCTGCATCCAGTCCTTTCCTGCCGTTCTCTTAAGGTCGTCAGTCCATCTAATCTGTGGTCTTCCTCTTTTTCTTTTCTTTTCCCATGGTCTCCAGTGTAGAATTCGCTTATTCCATCTTTCATTTTTTTGCCTGAGAGTGTGACCGGCGAAGTTCCATTTAAGTTTTGCAACCTGTCTTGGTACATCGTTCACCTTTGTTTTTTCTCTGATCCATGAATGTCTTTTCCTGTCTTTAAGACCGATACCCAGCATCTGTCTTTTCATTGCTCTTTGTGTTTTGGATATCCTGTCGATGTTTTCCTTTGCGAAAGTCCATGTTTGTGAGCCATATGTGATAACTGGTAAAATGCACTGATTGAATACTTTCGTTCGCATATATTGAGGAAACTTTTTATTTTTTAGAGTATATAATAGTTTACCAAATCAGGCCCATGCTAGTCTAGTTCTTCTTTTTTTTTTCTTCTGTTTGATTGTCCCTGTTCAGCTTTATTATGTGTCCTAGGTATATGTATTCTGCCAATTGCTCTAATTTATTCTGTTTGACTACTATTTCTAATTGGTCTTCTTGGTTTGTCATAGTCTTGGTTTTACTATAGTTCATCTCTAGACCTACCTCTGTTGCTTTTCTATCTAGTTCCTCAACCATCTTCTGTAACTCTTCCTTCTTATCTGTTATCAGGACTATATCGTCTGCATATCTCAAGTGGTTCAAGAGCTCTCCATTTATTCTTATTCCGTATGTATCCAATTCTAATTTTTTAAATATGTTTTCCATAGCCTGATTGAACAATTTTGCTGATCTTGTGTCTCCCTGCCTGATTCCTCTTTCGAATTTTATTGGTTCTGTAGCGTGTTCGGTCGTCAATTTTATTGTTGTACTCGCATTTTTGTATATGTTTGTTATTAGGTCCGTGTACCTGTAATCAATTCTACTAGGCTACTGTGTGAAAAATGATGATTAGTCTTTAACCTACATGCACGTTGTTTATTTGTTTTTATGTGCAAATGCGAAGGGTTTCCAATAATTTACTACTTTACTGGGTTTAGTAGTAGTAGGACCTGCATATAACAGTGTTTCTCATATCTCGAGTTAGGTAGGCGCCTGATAAAAGATTTAATAAATACGTTGTTAGCTATTTTGATTCATAATAGGGTATATGAAAGGAGATTTTATAATGCTTATCTTCTTTGAGCCATTCTATTGATGCCTTATTTAAAAATATTGCTGCATTCCACGAAAAACTCATTAGTATAAGTTGATTTTGTTTACTAGTAATCAGAATTAGTAAACAAAACACTAAGTAAAGGATAAAGTAGAATTTTAATACATTGAGTAAAAATGTAACGTGAAAATTATAGTCTGATTCTACTATATTCTAAACTATTAGAATTATATATTCTAGAACTATATATTCTAGAATCAGAATATTCTAAACGATAAAGAGCAAGCAAGTATGTTGTAATAGTGGATACAAATAATAACATTTAAAAATCTTTTAAATTAAATGAAAATTTTTTAATTTTTACCACATAATTATTCTGGTATAAAGAAAGAATATGAAAAATGGAGCCTCAATATGGATATGTCAAAGACAGAGTATCTTAAAATAGGAGATGACGAAGAAGATCCAGAGTTAGACATTAGAAACACAAAAACATGCAATGAATATAAATATCTCTATATATGGATCTATAATATCTAAAGAAGGCAATACCAAAAGAGACATCGAAAACAGAACGCAGCAGGGAAAAAAAGTGGTTAACATTCTAAATTCTCTACTATGGTCTAAAGATATTAAACAAGAAACGAAATTGATAATCTATCGAACCTTGGTGGAACCTATTATGACTTATGGGGCAGAAGTTTGGCAGATCACGAAAAAAGAAAAAAAAAAGGATAGAAGTAGTAGAAATGGATTTTTTAAGGAGAGCGTGTGGTGTATCCAAAAAAGATCATATCAGGAATGAAGATATTAGAAGGAAAACAAATACTATATATTCCAGTGTAGACAGAATTGAAACGAGACAACTAGTGTGGTATGGTCACGTGTAGCGAATTAATGAAAATAGATGACCAAAGAAAGAAGTGAAAAAGACAGCAAATATTTGATTTCACGCAAACAGCGCCTTTGTATCTGTTGATACGTATTTCGACCTAATAGGTCTCATCAGAACAGTTATTCAAAGGTGTTCTCAACGTGAAAGATCAATATTTCCTGTCTTTTAAGAAGCAACAATAACATGGCTTCGAATACGGACGCACTAGCGACATCTAATTTAACAAACGTAAAATAGTTTCGAAACACAATTCAGATTTCTGCTTTTATCTGTGCTTTCTAAAAATTGCAAAGCAAAACAGACGTTGATAAAGGTGTTAAAAGAGACGTGGGGAATCTAAAATTTGCATTCCACGACACATCTTTTCAACTAAGCAGAAATCCTTAACGAATTGGTTTCTTGTACTCGTACAGAGTAAATCCGAAAAAAGTGAAAAAGACAGCAAATATTTGATTTCACGCAAACAGCGCCTTTGTATCTGTTGATACGTATTTCGACCTAATAGGTCTCATCAGAACAGTTATTCAAAGGTGTTCTCAACGTGAAAGATCAATATTTCCTGTCTTTTAAGAAGCAACAATAACATGGCTTCGAATACGGACGCACTAGCGACATCTAATTTAACAAACGTAAAATAGTTTCGAAACACAATTCAGATTTCTGCTTTTATCTGTGCTTTCTAAAAATTGCAAAGCAAAACAGACGTTGATAAAAATAAAAAGACAGGAAATATTGATCTTTCACGTTGAGAACACCTTTGAATAACTGTTCTGATGAGACCTATTAGGTCGAAATACGTATCAACAGATACAAAGACGCTGTTTGCGTGAAATCAAATATTTGCTGTCTTTTTCACTTTTTTCGGATTTACTCTGTACGAGTACAAGAAACCAATTCGTTAAGGATTTCTGCTTAGTTGAAAAGATGTGTCGTGGAATGCAAATTTTAGATTCCCCACGTCTCTTTTAACACCTTTATCAACGTCTGTTTTGCTTTGCAATTTTTAGAAAGCACAGATAAAAGCAGAAATCTGAATTGTGTTTCGAAACTATTTTACGTTTGTTAAATTAGATGTCGCTAGTGCGTCCGTATTCGAAGCCATGTTATTGTTGCTTCTTAAAAGACAGGAAATATTGATCTTTCACGTTGAGAACACCTTTGAATAACTGTTCTGATGAGACCTATTAGGTCGAAATACGTATCAACAGATACAAAGGCGCTGTTTGCGTGAAATCAAATATTTGCTGTCTTTTTCACTTTTTTCGGATTTACTCTGTACGAGTACAAGAAACCAATTCGTTAAGGATTTCTGCTTAGTTGAAAAGATGTGTCGTGGAATGCAAATTTTAGATTCCCCACGTCTCTTTTAACACCTTTATCAACGTCTGTTTTGCTTTGCAATTTTTAGAAAGCACAGATAAAAGCAGAAATCTGAATTGTGTTTCGAAACTATTTTACGATTGTTAAATTAGATGTCGCTAGTGCGTCCGTATTCGAAGCCATGTTATTGTTGCTTCTTAAAAGACAGGAAATATTGATCTTTCACGTTGAGAACACCTTTGAATAACTGTTCTGATGAGACCTATTAGGTCGAAATACGTATCAACAGATACAAAGGCGCTGTTTGCGTGAAATCAAATATTTGCTGTCTTTTTTCACTTTTTTCGGATTTACTCTGTACGAGTACAAGAAACCAATTCGTTAAGGATTTCTGCTTAGTTGAAAAGATGTGTCGTGGAATGCAAATTTTAGATTCCCCACGTCTCTTTTAACACCTTTATCAACGTCTGTTTTGCTTTGCAATTTTTAGAAAGCACAGATAAAAGCAGAAATCTGAATTGTGTTTCGAAACTATTTTACGTTTGTTAAATTAGATGTCGCTAGTGCGTCCGTATTCGAAGCCATGTTATTGTTGCTTCTTAAAAGACAGGAAATATTGATCTTTCACGTTGAGAACACCTTTGAATAACTGTTCTGATGAGACCTATTAGGTCGAAATACGTATCAACAGATACAAAGGCGCTGTTTGCGTGAAATCAAATATTTGCTGTCTTTTTCACTTTTTTCGGATTTACTCTGTA